GTTCATTTGTTAAGTGAAATCCAATAGATTATCAGTGGACTGAGCACTTGGCATCCGCTGTATCTCATTCAGTCATTCAGTAAGTTGGCTCTCAGTCTCCCTGTGGCTTCTTGTTGAATGGCATAAACAGCACAGCTGGAAAAGTAAAATCTACCGCTGGACTTCTTTGTCCATTACTTCTCAAATCAGCTGTTAACCAGAGCTATATTCCATACCAGGGCTTCTTTCCTGCCCTGCCATCCACAGACATACACACACAGCCAGCTCTGTCCTATAGTGCTGCTTGTTGATAACCCAGGACATAAAGAGGATTCATATTGAAAACTGAACTCAGCCAGCAGGAAGTCAACCACTACAATGGAGAGAATAAATAATTCACTAAGCACTTAACTATTTCCTGTTGAGTTTTTCCTCTCTTTCCTCTCCATTTTCTCTCTGCTGCTCATCTCGCATGCCTTGGACTTGCATTCCTCTGTCTCTTGCTCCACAGCAGGTCTTGCCTGTGGAGATACTATGACAGTTGGCGCTGCTTCTCAGTGGTTTTTGTTTTACAGAGTAGGGCAAACAGTAATTCACTCACTGTGTTGTTGCTGAATAAGGCCTCACTGCAGGCAGTCACTTCTAAACAGTGCACTGTCTATTTACATGTATGTCAGGGTGGGGTTTCTCTCATTTGGTAAGTTCTGCTTTGTCGAGTAGATTATTGAATACCTTCTCCTGTAAATGCTCAGATGAGTTTTTTTTTCCCCCCCTTGTTTTCTTCCAGTTCAAACAGCTGGCTCAGTGACCTTTATGACTCCTGTTGCAATATTTTAGAAGGCTCAACCAGTCCATAAACACAGGGCTCACACAGATGCACTTTCATTGAGCAGGCTCTACTTAAAGAGGTCAGCAAGAGGTGACAGCTGTGTGTGTAACCTTAAGCGCAGCTTCCCCTGTATCCCTCCACCCTGTTTTCATCCTATTCGGGAGGGGCCAACCAGCTGTCCTGTATAGGTCACACCTGTACTGAACAGAAGCAGATCAAACTGCCCTTCTGTCCGTTCTTCAGTCAGATCTGGACAAGCTCACGTCAGTGGTCATCACTTGTGTTGTATGGATCACTACTTGCTACACAGATCCTGGGATTCCCTACTGAACTGGTCTGCTGTAGATCTTCTATGCAGAATTTGGTCAGGCACCAAGTAGAAGAGTACATGTTACATAATCTAAATATGAAACTGTCTTTTATTGCATTTTGAAACAATTAATTTAAACTCAACATTTCAAAATGTGACCAACCAAAGGTTTTGATTCTGTGTGGCTCTTTGTATGGATATGTTTGTTTTGTGGTACATGTTAGGAAATTGGCAATGACAGAAACAACTGTGACAGCCCTCCTAAATCACAGATAGGTAGGGAAATCCCTGATAGTAAGATGAGCTAAGACATTTTTGTGAGTGTGGTTAATGCAAAGTGTGGCTAATGGCTAATGTAGTTAACCCTAGTGAATGTCGGGGTCGGTCAAGAAATCAAGATCAGGCCTGTTGCCCCCTCTTGTTAACATAAATCACATGGGAATCTTGACTTGATACTGTGATCCATTTTTCAGTTTCATGATGTATGTTGTCACATTTTTGAATTGTAATATTGTTCCACCATGCATTGTTATAACCCCATTTCTGAGTATAAGATTTAAGCAACCAAACTGTGGAGGTCTGTTCGGGTCCACCACAGTTAATCTGGCAAATGAGGAAATATGTGAGCATTGTGAAATAAAAAAAATAATTTAAGGTGTATTGCATATGCTTTACAATGTGTTTATGCTAGAAGCACCCATAAACTTAGAAAATGTGTTTGTGCATGCATGTATTTGTATTGCTTATTGGATAATGAAGCTTTGAGATAGTTAAATGACTGAAAGGCTCCAGGGGACTCTGCTGTACCACAGATTTGCATTGGAACTCTCCCAGGATTTGTTTGAGTCATTTAGACTGGAGTGTTTGTTTTAAATGTCCTCAAGACCTTTCAGAACAGCTAAGTGTTTAAGCAGTTTAAAATCATCCAAAAGATCTTTACTTGCTAAATCCGTCATTGTATAATTTGATTTTAGTGATTTCCTGAAAATTTTCATGTCCTTAAAAACATAAAAATATACCACTATGTTGATATATTGCTAATTATAGCTAATTAGCAAGAATACCAAACATGATCTGTTTATCATGTTACAGCATTCACAGGAACCTTAACTTTAGAGCTACAAACTCATTGTACAAGACTCTGAAGGTGACTGAGATTTCAGTGTACCACAGTGAGGCTCAGGGGAGCTGTGTTTTCAGAGAAGACTAACCTAACCCCTCATGACAGTGTAAACACACTTCTCTGTTTATTTCTTCTGGTGTATTTTAACACTAAAGCCTGACACATCAAAAAATAGCCAGGACACTCAAATGTTTTGGAACTGAGATGTTTATTAAACCTTTTAACAAAATCCAAAAGAAAATTCAAGATGCATGATTTTTATTTGCCATTTATGCATAGGCAGACAGTCCAGGCATATAGAAATGAATGTGCCATATTATTTTGTTTATTATTATTATTTTGTATCAAATTTGATACATTTTTGGTGTTGTGTGTGTGTTTTTTTGCTCAAAGTCGTGTAGCAAATATGATACAAATGGTTTTATAGGGTTAAGAGCAGTAGGGAAGACATTTGGGGGCCACTACCAGAAACCAACCAGGAAAAATAAAGTGATATGAATGATGTGGGTCATTATGGGAATACTGAATACATTTCTGATCCGCTTATCTTCACTAAATTGCTAAAGGCAGTCTTAAAGCACTTATATATGCTATAAAGAAAGACTTCAAAATGTGTGAACATGTTTTGCATGTGTATTGGAGTACATAAAGTTCAGAGGGGACATCGGTATAAAGGTGTGTTGTGGCCTATATTGCTTCCCTGTGGGCCTTTTTTCACCAGGTCAGACTCCGTGTAAGACCCATTACAACCAATGACATCGCCACCACCTCGTAACTCTGGGCAGCAGCAGGCCGGCAGCTGGGGAGAACAGGAAGGATGGTTGGCCTTTTGCTAGTGAAGTGGTCGAGGGTGGACACTGAGATGCCTACATGACTATAACAGAGCACCTCACTGTGCTCTCTCTCTTTAACGCAGTTCATTTCTTTCTGATGATATTTCCATGCTGAACCAGACTTCCAGCGAAGGGGGGGGGGTTCTTCTCACAGCCAAAGAGAGAGAGAGGGAGAGAGAGAGGGAGGGAGGGAGGTGATAGAAAAGAAATCAGGGAGCAGAGCATTCAAGGAGCCAGCCCCATGTGCATGATAAACAGCTGAGCCACGGGGGCTGTGATGGTGTCTGAGGGGACCAGCTGTATCAGTCATAGCAGTGACTCACTGTGCTGATGTCACTCCCTCGGGGCGGGACGTTGGTTTGGAGCTCTAAACTCGCACATAGTCCTTCTGGGTCATGATGTTAGCTTTATCCCCTCACAACAGGCTCAAAGAAAGAGAATTATCTGAGGCTAAATTCATATGGTGGCTGCTGTGCAATCAAAAGCACATAGTCTGTCTTAGATATTCCCATAATGTAAAATCTTGCTGAAATAGGAGTCTGGCTTGCAGCAAAACTGGCTATCACAGGTATGCACAGCCTTGGGGTAGGGAAAAAATCCTCACACACTGAACAGCACAGCTAGGGCTGACAGAGTCGATTAGGTGCTCTGAAGCAGCACAGCATCCCCTGTGGCTATGCTACAAAGTATTGATCCAGACAGCAGCTAAGATGAGTAAGTTGTCCCCATCTTCAGGGTCTCCACTGTGTCTAGTCACTAGTCTGACTCTGATAAACTCTTTGTCTTCCTCCTCTCTTCTAAATCCTGCTTGGCTAACTGACATTTTATCTTTTCACTCCACTGATGGTGTGAATGGAAGAGGCAGAACACACAATTTGTGATGCTGACATGAAGAGGCTGCTGTGATTTTGCCTCTGAAGAGACACAACTTAGATACAAATTAATTTTACAGAAATTCTGTATTTGTCTTCTAACAGGTCTGATGTATTTATTTGGGAAAGATGCATCAATAAATGTACTTGGAAACGAGTTAAAGGCAGATTTAGTGACACAGCAGTCACTGGATACACTTCCAGTAATGGAATGGGTGGTTTACTAAAATCTGCAGAACAGCTGTTGTTGACTTTATTTTTGCACAACATTGAGATAAGATTTTTCTAATGCTGTGTAAAACAAGAACCTTAGTAGTTATGCATGCCTCATCACTGGCATTGTATCAGGAGGAAACTCTACTGGAAGTGTTCAAATCGACATGTTTAATTAGACACTTGGTCATCTTTGTCTGCCCCTGTGTACTTTGGCTTTTGCTCTGAGTTGGAGATGAGGAGGGTAAGGAGTAGGGAGAAAGAACAGTAGGCTGGATATGTGCGTGGCATGTGGATCGATGTTGCAGATGAAAGCACTGCCTGGCTGGAAGTCTACTTTGTGGTGTTTTCCTGCTGTTGATTACTGTTCAGCATTCAGTGTTTTTTGCACTGATGGCTGTGGAATGCCAGATCCCGCTGTCATCGAGCTGAGGGGAGATTACAGCAGATAGCTGTGTAATTTTGTCGCTGATAAAACCCACACTTCCTGCCGGCTTCCACTGCTGTTTAGTATTAGCAGCCCATTCTCCTTGGGTTAACAGATTAGGAGACTCTTCTCTCCCTAGATGCATCTGTGCACATCATGGACTGCTAGAAGAGCCTGTCCAGCAGATTTATGTTAGAAAACCAAAAGAGCAGATGAAATGTGGATGCATCTCTGGTTCTCTGTTTCTTTAAAATACCAGTCTTGTTAATGCATCTTGCTGGTCTTAAGCTCTTCACTTGAGCTTTAGTTGAGTGGCATTGTGTTAGTGATATCAACATTTCAGTGTACTGGTGTGAGATTCTCTCCTCCTTGACTGACCACTCAGCTTTCTCTGTTTCCTCCCTCTCTCCACAGACTCGCAGCGGTCCCATCTGTCCTCTTTCACCATGAAACTGAAGGACAAGTTTCATTCTCCCAAGATCAAGAGGACTCCATCCAAGAAGGGCAAGCAACTGCAGCCTGAGCCAGCAGCCAAGAGTACTGAGAAACCTACTAACAAGGTGTGTATCCAGTCATGTGCCAGAAAATGTGTGTACTGTGGGAAATCCATCTGTTTTCCACCTATTCTTTGTGTTTTGTGAGATGATTGTTTTCCTGTCTGATGTTTTGTGCTCCCATATTTTGTGCTCCATTGTGTCTGTGTGTGCGAGTTGCCCTGCTGGTTCCCACAACTTCTCAGTCGATGTGGCAGCTGGCTGCACTACAACAGGTGTCTAAATCTATAAAGACATGAAAAGAACTGAGACACTTCCTGAATGAACTCTTTTGCTGCCTTTTTAAGACTTTTTGTATAATGAGTACAGGAAAAATGTAGAAGTATGGAAAAAAACTGTGTGGAAGATCTAGCTGTTCAAAAGTAATTGGACAGAGAGAGACCAGGTCAAATGAAGTCGTCATTATCAGGAAATTCACTCAATCAGTCGAGGATATTCCACCTCTTCACCCTTTGAAGCACTTTGGTTACTTTGGACATGTGTTCACAAT